TTTACCATGTAGTTCTAATTTTGGTGAAACACTAATAAGCCAACCTCAACTTTTCATAATTTTACACTATTTAGTCCCTATATGATAATTCTACGTTAAGTTTTTGATTTTCACAAAATACCACTTAGATGAAAAATTTAATTTGTAAGACATAAATAGTGTAACAAAAATATAATGCAGAGATTAAATTAGTGTAATTGGAAAAACTGGTGATCTTACTAATGTACTGGACAAAAAATATATATGGACAATAGTTTTAGAAATTGAAAAATGGCAACTACGGGATATTTCCACTTTATGTAATCTAATTTATATATTAGCATTAAATATCTGTATATAAATTAAAATTATAGTTAAATAAAAATATATTTAAAGATCTTATTTTAAGGTTGAAAAAATAAAGGTTTATTTTAAAATTTAATTGATTATATTTAATTTCTTATACTTCTAAATTCTATAGCTACAAAAATAAAAATAAAAGGACTTATTAAAAAGTCTACATTGAATTAAAATTTTAAATTAAGTGTTCCATTATAAGAAGTTTTGTCAAAAAATGAAGAGAGAGATTGAAAAGGAAAACTGATGCTTTGGAATAGAGAGAAAAACGAATTCGTTTTTACTATGCTAGACTTTTAATCAGGTGATCATGCTCCATTTCATATTTGGTTTCACGACTACCTTTACAGCTTGGCAAGGGGTATAATAGCTACAAAATTTAAAAGTTAAGGGCACACTAGGTCACCCGCAAAGTTAAAGTTGACAAATGGTTAAAATGAAAAAGTTCAAAGGGGAATTTTATACATTTGGCCAAAGATAATTACCATGTAGTTCTTATAGTTTGGTGAAACACTAATAAGAACCTCAACTTTCATAATTTTACACTATTTAGTCCCTATATGATAATTCTACTTAAGTTTTTGATTTTTCACAACCACTTAATGAAAAATTTAATTGTAAGACATAATAGTGTAACAAAATTATAATGCAGAGATTAAATAGTGTAATGAAAACTGGGATCTTTACTAATGTACTTGACAAAAATATATATGACAATAGTTAGAAATGAAAATTGGCAACTACGGATATTTCCACTTTATGTAACTAATTTATATATTAGCATTAAATATTGTATATAAATAAAATTATAGTTAAATAAAAATATATTTAAAGATCTTATTTTATAGGTTGAAAAAATAAAGGTAATTTTAATTTAATTGATTATATTAATTTCTATTAACTCTAAATTCTATAGCTACAAAATAAAATAAAAGACTATTAAAAAGTTCTACATGAATTAAAATTTTAAATTAATGTCCTATTATAGAAGTTTTGTCATATCTTAATTACAAATTACAATCCTATTATTGAAGTTTTGTCCTATCTTAATTATGAATATCACCCCCATATATATAACTATTTTATCTAAGCAAGTTTTTATTTACTTTAGCTATCAAGAAGTTTTATTTACTTTCATTATTCTTGGTTAATATAATTTTAGTTTACTTTCAAGAAAAGTATCTAAAAAGAATAACCTGCATATCTTTTTCGCTGCGTTTCCTTTTGAAGATTGATTGTTATTTTAGATCTTATTTTTCCTTTATTGTATTTATTGTATATTTGGTGGGCTGCGTTTAAAATATAGATGGATTTTTTTTTTTTTTTGACTGGTAGATGGAGTTGTATATGGGAATTGTTTATTATGGCTGATTAATGTGAGAGAAATAAAAAAATATGCAAGATATTTTCGTCTTTTTAATACCAATTAATCACAAAAACCTTAAAAATTAACAGAAGGACTTGAGTTGGATGGATAAAAAAATTAGGGATATAAGAATGTATTTTGAAAAAAGTAAGAGCGTAGTAGTGTATTTGATCATAACCGAGGGACTAAATTGTAATTCTCCCTTAGAGAAAATATTTTGTGTTATAAAACCTTCATATTAGAAAATGTTATTGCTAAATATTAGAAAAATATATAAAATTTTTAAATTTTGACAATCGTATATGACTGGTCGTTGATAATTTATTAGTGATAGTCGATGATAATGACTAATGGTAATTAATAAATTAATGGATCTGTGTTTATAAATTTTTCTTATGTTATACTAAATTTGTCAATATTTGGAAAACTTTTCCTCTTTATTAAAAAACTATATATTTGCATAAATGATTTTCCTTAATTAAGAAAATATTTTGCATCAGAAAATCAAGAAAATAATTTTAGTCTTTTGAAAAGTGGTACTTTTAATTATTGTTTCAATATAAACAAAATCCTACTGATATCAAGCATTAAATTATCCTGCTCACACCATTACTATATTCACAGTTTATGTGAGCAAAAATAATTTTTTACTAATTGTAATTAAGTCTCGAGCTGGATTAAACGGTCATTGATAATGGGGTTTGGATACCTGTGGTTTACACAAAAAAAAAAAAACTAATAAAAAATATGATAAGAATACAGATGAACAGAGAAGGAACTTTTCTAAATTTATTGATAATAATTGCAAAGAAGAAATACATAATGAAGATCAGATTTTGAAAAATCTTTGATCATCATGTCATAATTAAGGTCCTGTAGGAGTTTCATCTTCAAGAACAATAACAGTTGCATATGCAACATAATAGTATTTCTTCCACTGATTTATTTGAGCAGAAATTGATTTACTGCGAATCTTAGCCGAATCCAAAACATTTTCACAATACTCACAATTATCTAGAGCATAATGAACATCTAAACTTGCAGTGCCGCCTTCAAGTCCATCTAAATTAAGCATTCCTATTGTTTCATTAAAATAATTTGCGCATTCCTCAAACACGACATTCTTCTTCGCTCCATCAAGCCTGTTAAAGAAATTACGGGTAATAACAGATTTCTTTCTTGTCAATGCTAGGGCATAATTTGCCACAGTGGTTATATTTTTGGCTGTTGATATTCTTGGCTTGGATTGCAAGAGTTGCATGCAAAATTTGAATTGCTCACTTTGCTTGCAAACTTCTAGTAATAACTTGTTTTGATGTGTAGAAAATGGAGTTTTTGCCTCTGTTTTTGAGGGAAAATTGAGAAAGAGACACATGAAAATCATGTAGGAAAAGAAGAGGAAGAATCGAAAACCCATTTTTAATTACCTTAGAAGGTTTATTAGTTTTTTCTTCTTGACAAGAGAAAGTGTATTAGCTATTTTTTTTTTCTTTGGAGGTTTTGGCTATCAAAGTATTATATAGGAGAGAATCAAGCTTAATATAGAAAGTTTGTTGGAGTTTCTGTTTTAGTACAGTGTACTATGAATGAATTGTTCAAACAACAAAAAATTATATTTGACAGTTTTACCCAAATCGTAAACTTTGTTATGGAAGTAACAAAGTATGCTTTTTTTTGAAGATAACACCATCCTTATTATAAATACTCTCCTCCGTCCCATTTTATTTGCTCATTATTCTTTTTTTTTAAGTATCCCAAAATGTTTAGAAGGTTTTTAAATTTATATATTTTAAAAAAATTGTTTTTATGATTGTCCTTAAATGAAGGACTTTTATTAATATCTTAATGAGTTTAGGGTAAAAAATGACTAAATGATTTTTATTGACTGAATTTTTAATATGTATATTTTATCAAACCATGCAAATAAATTGGGACGGAAGAAGTAATAATTATTAAAACATTAACATGTCTCCATTAATAGAGGGAGGGGGGCATGGGAGCCACCGCCCCTTGGCTTCTATAATTTCTTTTTAGTGCATAAATCCTTGGTAGTTTAGTGGTGCTGGATAGTTGTACTTAGGTCGGTGGATTTGAGTTCTACTTTGAATCTAAACAAACTTTTATTTTCATTGATATTTCATTTAATTGGTCTTGAATTCGAATTCTTTCAATCATAACAGTTTTCATCAATTTGATGAACTAAAGGGTGGATTACCTCAATTATATAGCCCACAATGTTATTTCGGCTGATTAAGTTTTTAGTTATATAGCCTGCAGTTTTATTTCAGCTGTTAGGTCTTTGAATGAATTGGAAAAAGAAAAGGAAATTATGTTAACAAATTTCTCTTGGCTTTAAGGAAAGGAAATAATATTATCGCCCTAATTTATTTGATTTGGACAATTGAAGAAATCCAAAGCACATAAATTAATCATAACAATATAAAATTCATCTAAATTCCATAAACAAGTGAAAACATTTTTAATTTTATTTTAAGCACATTGCAAATCAAAATTAATAAAAATTGTATTTATTGGATTTGATTTTAAATTTGATCGATGAACAAGGAATGAAAAACAGAAATTGAGGAGACAAAAGATAAACCGTGGTTTATGCATCCGATCTTTCCTTGTCGTTCAAATACAATATGAAAATATTTTTTGATGTATACATGTCTTAAACTTAAGAGCAATTTTAGAATCTAGAAGTTAAAGTTAGAAGGGTTAATAAGAAAATTTCAAAGTCTTTCCGAAAACAATATGAGATAAAAGAACAACTTTGGAAAGTTGTTTTATGAATTAAAATAGTGTGCATTACATTATAGAAGTGATAAACAAGTATTATATAGCATGACCATTATATAACATGTAGTTTCATTTCAACTTTTTGTTAATTCACATATGAAGATGATGAACAAGTATTATTATACATTAAAAAAAAAAAAACAAAATGTATTAATAAGTACTTCAAAACAACAATATTGGTTCAACTATGATTCAAAACCAAACCAAATCACAAATATGACTAAATTATAATTTTTATTTTGGATTGGAATGACTAGAAAGATTTGATTTGATTTGATTTGATTAAATTAAGTCGTTTAACAGTAAGTTCATATCGGGTAGTAAAAGATTCAAGTTCTAATTTTCCTCTCCTAATCTATACATATACATAACATGTAAAAACATATTTAATAAAATACATGATAAAAAGATTAGATAAAAATAATTAGAGAATGACAACATCAATTAATTAATCATACTTAATATTGAATTGATCACACTAATTGCAAGATTATAATCAAGTAATAGTTTCTGAATTTTCAGTAGCTACTACAGCTGCGTAAGCAACATTATAAGAGTCCTTCCATCTCTTAATATGAGGAGCAATTGCTCCGATATGAACATTGGCCTCTTTTAATGCATTTTCGCATTGCTCACAACTATCAAGAGCGTAATGAACATCTAAACTGGCAGTGTCACCTTCGAGTCCGTCGAGATTAAGCATAGACTTAGCTTCACCAAAATATTTAGCACACTCCTTAAGAGCTTTTTTCACTTTTGGGTCAGAGCTATCTTTAAGAGAAATAAAGAACTTTTTTGTGGCAATTGATTCTTCTCTTGCTTCTCCTAGAGCAACATTCGTTAAGCCCTTTAAATTTGAAACTCTACTTATTTTGGGGTCTGATTTCAGAGCTTTTATGCAAGATTTGTCATCTGGACTTTGATGACATACATCATTCAATAATTCATTTCTTGATGTTGCCTCTATTTCAAAAGGAAAATGCAACAGGAGACATAGAAAAATTGTGGAAAAAACCCAAATGATCCCCTGAGAATCCATTGCCCTAAATAAGGAAACAGTTTCTAGGGTTTATTCTGTGTGGTGTGGTTTCTGTTAATGGGCTTAGACTTTTTCTTTATTTTATAGGTGAGTAACCCTAATTTTAGAACCTTGTAATTATTTTTTGGTCATTAGTTTTACAACTATTGTAACCCGAACAAACATAAAAATATTAGTAAATTACTAAATGCAGCATATGGCTGTTATTCTAATTTGCTTTTAATAGATCATAGAGTGTTGATATATATATATATATATATATTAAAGGTCCCAAAGAAGTCCATTTTCAGTTAATTTTGGATTTTGGGTAGTAGATATTTAACTTATTAAAAAATATATATATATAATTCACTATTTTTACTTTAACGTATCCATATATAGGAATAGCTATTATTAGTTTTACTAAAATCTTAATTAGGCTATGTTTTTACGAGTCCCAATTAACATTAATTAATAGGTACTAACAAAATATGTAGCTTTCAATTGTCATAAATCACTTCATCAGATAAGTTTTAAATTGATTCCCAATTGGAAGTCTATCCTACAGTAAATGGTACTTTCTCTGTTCTATTTAGATAAAAAAGTTTCCATTTTGAGTGTTCTACCTAGATAGAAAAAATTACTCCATTTAATAATTTGAGAAAATGCCAATTTAAAAAGACTACTTTGCCCTTATTGTATAAGTAAGCACATAAATGTATTCATAAAGTACACCACAAATAACTAAACTGCAGACATATTCTAAAGGATACTCAGGCACTAAATATCAATATGTGAACAAATTTGCAATTTGGCTCAGAATTGCTGCTTTTCCTTAATAATTTCAAAGTCTACTTCAATTACAATAGGCTAATTCCCACTTCTAATTAATGTTCTTAGATACGCCAAAATCACTCCTTGATTAATGTAACTAAATTAATACATCCATTTTCTCTCTCATCTATACATGGACTTACATAAAAATAAGGGTGGAAGTTAATGTTGTGTCGGGGGTATATTAAGAAAAAAATAGTCAAAATTACATTTCAACCGTCACAGTAATTCTTGTACAAATTCAACTTTTCTTATCTAAATAGAACGGAGGGAGGAATAATTTTGGCTAAATAGTTTTGTTTTTGTAGATGTATTACCTTTACCATATATAATATGGACACATGTTGCAATTTGTTAGGGTCAGCGTTCAATTCAACGAAACTGAATTAATCTTAAATATAAATAATTAAATAGTGAAACTGCAATAATTGAATCGAATTGAATAAACATAAATAATAAATTGAATTCAACTAAAACAATTCGATTAAATTGATAGAAAAATTGAACCAAACCATAACAATTGAGCTTAAAACGATCTATAAACAGATTTAGCTTGAAATAAAATTGAACATGCCAAAATAGTGCTTGTTCAATTTTTTCTGGTGTGGTGCTTTGTTTAAGCACCAAGTTCAATCATCTTAGTGAAATCAAAATGTTCATTTGAATTAAGTCTTAAGGAAGGAAGCTGATAGGGAATATTGTATTATATTTAGTTTAGAAAAGTGTACATATTTAGAAACTTGTATCAATATGTGATCTGACTGAGCAACACTGGGCTACTATTAAAATGATTTTGCATTATTTACAAGCTACTTCTTCTCATGGATTGTTGGTTTATCGCACTTTTTCTTATTGACTACATAGCTATATTGATTTAGATTGGGCAAGATCATTAGATGATTGTAAATCAATTTCTAATTTTGCTATTTTTTTTATAATAATCTAGTCTATTAGTCATCTAAAAAACAACAAGTTGTATGTCGCTTCTCCACTGAAGCTGAATTTCGAGCTCTTCCTAATGCTGCTTCTTAAATGACTTGGCTGGATCTTTGTTGTATTAGATTGGGCTTCATTTTTACCTCCGCTATTCCCAAACAAATTTGGTTGTTTCAAAAAATCTCAAACAAAATTGGGGGTTTCAAAGTCAAATATTTTTAGGAACTAAAAATTCTTTATAATCATTTATAGCATATAATATAATATAATTAAATATTTTATTTTCTCTTATGACAAGTATATCAACTATGAATTACAATCTTTACACCGTTGACATTATTGCTACGGCGATTAAAATAATGTTCAATAATTTTTCATGAGCTATAATAAAATCTAAAATTCAAACTTATTAGCTATAAGTGGTAGGAGTGGAACTTGGATAGGAATATTCCAATTCAAATCGAAATTTCAAACCAAATTTTAATTTGGAATGGAATTTTAGAATATGGAATTTAAAATGGAATGTAATTTTTAAAATATAAAATATGGAATAGAAACAAAAAAAAAAAAATTTTTATATTCCAATCAATATACCGAATTTTTATTTTATTATTCTTTAGTTTGTAATTATATGTTTTAAAATAAAATATTAAATTAAAGATTATGGTAAAATATGTTTTTTTTATATTATAAAACTTCTATGTAGAATATTTTAACCCTAACCCTAATTAGTAATTTTTATTATTTTCCAATCAATTATACCGAATTTATATTTTATTATTCTTTAGTTTTGTAATTTCATATGTTATATGTTTTAAAATAAAATATTAAATTAAAGATTATGGTAAAATATGTTTTTTTTATATTATAAAACTTCTATGTAGAATATTTTAACCCTAACCCTAATTAGTAATTAATATATACTACATGCTTGAATACTCATACATACTGTCTTTGTATTGAAAAGTATGATTTTAGTTATAATATCTTACTTACGAAATATTTTAGTATGCTTAGACTCATAATATATATTTTTCGTGGATTTAACACTTTTTAATGGATATGGTGACTATATATATTGATTTATCATAATATGAAAGGTATTATCTTTTGTTGATTTTATAATAATGGTAATAATATTATTAATTATTAAGTTGTGAATTATATGAACTGAATTATTAAATGTTAGTGGTAAAACATACCTAGCCACTATCTATATGATAAGTGTATTTTTGGAGTAATTTTAATATATTTTTTATTAGGATTTTTTAGTAGTTTTAATTACTTTTATTAGTTTTTATTTAGTTTTATTTAATATATTTTTTATTAGGATTTTTTAGTAGTTTTAATTACTTTTATTAGTTTTTATTTAGTTTTATTCATGTTTTTATTCAAAGCTTCCTTGAAATATAATTTGCTTGATCTTAAGGAAATTTGTAGGATTTTGGCATAGAAAAGTGCAAAATAAGGCAAAACACTCAGGCTCTAGCACGCCCTGCCCGTGCCTTACAGCATGCCAGTGCTAAAAATCAATTATTGTTTTGCGTTGAAAACGCAAGCCAGTCCCTACCACTTGCATGGGCCCACCTGAGATATTTTCCTGACTTACAAATCAAGATCTAATCCTATTTAGGCAGATGAAAGAGTTCTAATTAAGAAGAAATCCAAAGCCTAAATAGTTTCCTATCTCCAAAAAGATTTCTTACTTAATGATGATTCTATTTCCTAAACAAAATCGGATTTTCTCCCAAGAAGTCTATATAAAGAGAGAAGCCATTCATTATATATTCGATCTCTTATTCTATTATTTTCTACATAGTTCTCTCTCTTTCTCTCTCTCCAAGGCTTCAAGCATTCAAGTTGGCGTTAAAATTCAAGGAAGCTGTTCAAGCACATCGTTAACTAGTTTTTATTTCTAAACTCTCTTTTTGTTTATTATTCTTTATTGGATTATTTACAAATTTAATTGACTTTTATTTAATTACTATGTTGAACTAAAATTCTCATACTAGGGATTTGATGTAGCTTAATTTTGATTCCAATTTATAATATTAGTTTTGTTTTTCTTTGTTCATGATATAATTTATTATTGAACTTAATGCTTCTAGGCAAAATTTCTCCCCTAGATTGATTTATTTCATTAATCACTATCGGGAGAAGGGTTTTTGATATGAAAAAGGTAATAAATTACATGAGAATAATAACTTGACAAGTGTAATAAATTACATGAGAATAATTAACTTGACGCTGGAAGCTAATATGGTTTGACTCATTGGAGGTTTTCATTAAGTTAATGACCTTAGGTTTATAGAATTTCACAAAAACAAACCATTAAAACTTAATGATTTTAATTCATGTTTAATTGCACTTATTGGGAAGATAGGTAATTTAGACCAGGTTAAAATAACTAACAATTACATCGGAGATGCTTGTTAGTGATTTTAGGCTTGTTTCTGCCTTACTAAAAACAATTAAAAAATGATGTATTCAACTAATAGAATTAAATTGGATATAATTAAGTGGAGTCAAAATCCCTAGTAAGCTTTAAATTCTTGATTTCTTTTTCGATAAATATTGTTGTCTTGATTTCTTTTTTGTTTCTTCTTTTATTTATTTTAATTTATATTTTAAATAATCCCCCTTATTTTGCCGTTTTTTAATTTAATTTTTTTAAATAATCCCCCTTATTGCCGTTTAAATAATAATAGGTTAACATAATTTTGATACTTGGTATACAATCCCTATGGATACGATACTCTACTCGTTTTATATTACTTGTTGCGCTTTCACACACTTGTGAAAATCACCGTTAAGTTTTTGGCGCTGTTGCCGGGGATTGGCGTTACCAATATCAATACTAGTTTAATTTAATTTTTTTAAATAATCCCCCTTATTGCCGTTTAAATAATAATAGGTTAACATAATTTTGATACTTGGTATACAATCCCTATGGATACGATACTCTACTCGTTTTATATTACTTGTTGCGCTTTCACACACTTGTGAAAATCACCGTTAAGTTTTTGGCGCTGTTGCCGGGGATTGGCGTTACCAATATCAATACTAGTTAACCTATTATTAATTTAGACAATGTTTTTTGAGGTTAAATGAAATATTTGTTTATTTTATTTGTAGTTTTTTTAATTTATTTTATTTTATCAATTTTTTTCATTATTTTCTTGCGAAGTATTTTGAAATGTTTCATCAACAAGTAGTCGCAAGTTTTATTCAACAACATCCCGAGCCATTTT